GCAGGTGGCAGAAACACGGAGCTAAATCCCGGGCCCCATCATTATATTCCATTTAAAAGAAATAGGCCATAATAAGAATGTGGTACCTCCTTCTCTTCAAAGCAGAGGTTCTGGAGGGATAGATGAAGTTGGCATTTTGGGGCTAAGGCAGTTACAGAAAAGGCCTCCTGCAGACCATGTGGTTGGCTGCGTCTTGCAGAATAGTACCGAACTGCATATTCAGAGAAAAAAGAGAGAACACCTTCCAGGAAGAGGTACAGCAAATATATCGGAAAAGAGAGAGAGAGAGCAAGGCAAGGTTAGCTGTGAGGAGTGGGAAGAATGGAAGTGAGCGGGGTGTTTTCTTGGTCTTAGCCTTTCCAAAGATGGGAAATACCCTGAGTTGTTTACATTTTTAAGGCTCTTTATATGTTGAAAAAAATGAGGCAATGTCAAATGAGTGCTAAAATTCTTGTCTTTTGAAAAAAAATTCTTTATATTTAGCAAAGAAACATATGCACACACTTTCTGAAACACATCCCAGGCAATTTTTGTGCTATTCTCAAGTCAGAGGATCTATAAAGTACATTGCTGCATATCTTTCAGGTTGTGTGGACCAGTCCTGGTCACAAGGAAAAGGAGTACAACAGTCATCTTTCACCTTGCTGGAGGCCTTCCATGGCTGTCAATGCAGATGAACTCAGAGATAACATCAGGGGCTTGGCCAAAGGCATTCCCTGCTCCACATCAGTCCTGCTCTAGGCTGGTCAGAGAGCTGGACCCGGGGCTGAGGAACCGAGAGAGCTCAGGAGTGGTCTCCACAGGGTGGGAGAGAGGGCTGCCATGTTGCTAAATTCTGAGACACACCACCCACATCCAAATCCCTGGAAATGGTGCCCTTGAATTATGTAGTATACAAATTCTTCTCTGAGATTCAATGGGCCATATACAGTAGTGCGATTGGAGGAAAATGTCCAATCTCAGCAGTAGTCTGCTCTCAGAAAAACACATTTCACTCGCCATTGTCTTTGCGGAGGTCACCAAACAGCAATCTTCTTGGGGTTTAGTTCTCGCTAGTGTCAAGTGTCAGAAATACAAGCTGGCCAGGATTTTCCACTAGTAAAGAGTCAACTTCCAAAGACACAAAATATCTACTATAACTGACAATTCTAATGCAGTTCAACATCATAAACAGAAACAGAATACATTCTTTATAGTAGAAAACATTCTGTCTGCTCAGAAGCCTTTACAGGAAGACACTGTGTACTTTGAAAGGAATTCCTAGAACCTCTTGGTGTAAGCAAATCCAATAAGGGAAAAGCTGACTTTATATAAAAAGGCTAATTCAGGGGAATTATCCACTTTGCAAAATAACACTTCACTGCTCAAAAACATATCCTTGTGGTATTCCTTCTACACGAAGTCCTTGTGAGCCTGTTTATAACATGAGACCCTTTTATAAGAACAGGCATAGCCTCATCTTTAGGGTATACTCCTGGTGTGGGAATGATGGCATCAGGATTAGGAAATACTTAGAGACTAAAGGACAAGATCCCAGCTGTCATTAACAAGAACCCTTTTATTCCCATTAGACTATATGCCAGCAGCTTTGAGTGTCACTGTCTAAATCCTCCTGAGGTTCCTGGGAGACAGCTGTGAGGCAGGGATAGCGTTATGGATTTCATAACAGGGAGGGAAGACTTAGCTCTGAGAGGCAGTGACTTATCAAAGGTGATCAACAGGTCACCCTCCTGCTCCTGGCAGGCCTGATTAGTGTGCTGTGCATTTTTAAAAGTCTAGAGATTCTTCTCTCCAGAGTTCAATTCCCATCATCTTGAAGGTGAGCTGGACTTAGTGACTTGCTTCAACAAACAGAGAATACAAACATAATAGATAACAGTGGAGAAGCCTCACAGATACCACTTTAAATAAGGTTAATGTCAAGGTTAGTATCACCAGTAATAAGGTTGGTAGGACATGCTCACTGATAAGATGCAACCGAAAGGCCTGTGGCTTCTGTAATATCTTTTCAAAACCTATAATCTCAGTTTATTTATCAGAAAACATTAGTCCACCCCAAACATTTGATCCATACTCTTCAAAATTTGTCAAGGTCACAAAAGACTGAGAACTTGTCACATACTAGACGAGATTAAAGGCATGACAAGTGAATGCCATGTGGGGTCTTGGATGGGATCTTGCAACAGAGAACATCAGCGGAAAAACAGCAAATCTGAATGTCTGTAGTTTGGTTAATAATATTGTACCAAGGCTCATGTCTTAGTTTTAGACAATAGGTAAGGTGCTAACATTAATGGAGGTTGGGTGAAAGCTAGATTAAAACTCTGTTCTACCTTTGTAATTCTTATAAATCAGAAATTGTTTCCAGGAAAAGTATTTGACTTTAAAGCCCATGCCTAACCTCCCAATTTTTTTTTTTTTTTTTCTGTTTGGGAAAGTTGAGAAGGAGCATGGCTGGGTTGCCTATATGGCCAGTCTAGAGTCTGGAGAAAGAAATGTATCACATTCCCCAAATTCTGCAGAAAGCCACGCCATTTGCTGCCTTTCCCGAGTTTGGCCCAGCTTCTTGTCGGAGTGTGATGATGCCTAGGAAAGGCAAATGTTAAATAAGTCTGGCTAGGCAGCTGGGCTTTCACAGCCGCGTGCTGTGGTGGGGGGCAGAAATGAACCCAGGCTCTAGACAGCTTGCATACAGGGCTCAGGAAGCTTCTCAGAATGATTGTGAGGACGCTGAAAATCTCACAAGTTTAGAATATCAAGTCAATCCATTATACCTTGCAAATTAAACTTATCAATATCATGTATAAACAATGACCAAAAGGAGAGGAAGGATCAGTGTTTCTTGTTTGCTCTGTGTCCAAGGATGGCCACCATCAGTGGCCTCTCTCCAAGTACGTGCACACTGCTGACCCGTCAAACAACCATGACTTTCTCTTATCTTTGAATCTTCACTGGCCTTTTGATTTGCTTTGATCAGCAGGATATGGGAGAAGCAATGCCATGCCTTTAAGAGTTCTAGCTGCTTCTGCATTCCCTCTTAAAGCCAGCTTCACAGAAGAAATCCTGGAAACACAGAGACCACGAGATGACCACATGGTGAGGAAGCCTGCCACAGCCATAAAGAGAGGCCACAAGGAAGAATGACCAAGTTCCTGATATGCAAATAAGGCCCGAACCTTCCAGCAAGCTTAGCTGCAGGTGAATTCAACTGCATGAGTGATCTCAACCAATAAAGAAAGAAAAAATAAAAACAAGCAGAAGACTCATCCATCTGACCGTAATAAATCCACAAAACTATGAGAAAGGAAGGGTAAAACATTACCCTCTTAAACCACTAAGCTTTGGGGTGATTTGCTATGCAGCATCACGGAAACTCAGTAAAATGCTTTTTTCCTGTTTTGCCATGTTTTATACAATTTCTCAATTCTTTAACCTTAAAAATCAAAATAAAAGCAAAGGTATGTAAAGTAGTCATAGACTATTTCAGACAGCTATTAAATGAGAAACAGGAAATTCGATTACATTACTTGTCTGCTCTTAACCTCCATTGTCTTCCCACATCTGTCACTCAGAATGGAGTCCCACGTAATCTGTTCTCTTGTCCCCGACTTGTTCCTACTGTTAATTGCCTTTGGTGCTCTTTGAATATCACAAGCACGGTTCACCTTAGACATTTGCATCTGCTGTTTCCTGTGCCTGGAGTGTTCCTCTTGGAGACAAAGGCGCGACTTAAATTTCTTACCTCCTCTAGGTGTTTATTCATTTGTTATTTTGGTAATGAAGCCTTCCCTAATCTCAATTAAAGTCACTAATCTCCCTTTTCTGTCCTTCTGTATTCCTTGTCTTGCTTTATTTTTCCCCATAGTCACTTTAGTGCACCATTTAGTGTACTGTTGTTGTTCATCTTAAGACTTCTTGCTTTTTTTTTTTTCAACTGCTACAGATCTAGAACTTAAAACTGTGTGGCAGTTAGTGAATGAATAAATTTTCTAATATTCAAAGCCTGACCTCTCCCGGTTTCAGGCTGATGTGTGATAGACAGCCTTCCCTACTGGCAAGGTACAGCACTGCAGTCCAGCTCTATCAGATAAGAAGACGGAATCACAGTGTGTGCTTAAGAAAACTTCACGTTGATAGACTGGAAGTCAATGAGTTTCCTGAAAATGGCCAGAAACAAAATCTTTTAAGCTCTGTGAGCCTTCTGGTCTCTGCACAAGTACTCAACTCTATCCTTGTACCATGGAGGCAGTCATCAGCCATATATAAATAAATGAGTGTGGTTGTATTCTGATGAAACTGTATTTGTTAGCAATGAAATTTGAATTTCATATAATTTTACATGTCACAAAATTTCTTTCTTCCTTCAATTTTTTCCACAATTTAAAAATGTAAAAACCACTCTTGGCTTGCAGACCATATAAAAATAGATGGAGAACCACATTTGGCCCACAAACTGTGGTTTGCTGAACACTGCTATTGACAATCTCCAAGTGACCTGAAGTGTGGGAGAAGAATTCAATTTTGAAGGCAAATGGCCAGAAAACTGTTCATTTTTAAAGAAGTAGTATTCATAATATGACTTCATGAATATTCATAGTGATTTCTGCATTTCAGGCACTTTTATAGCCAATATTCATGGGTGAGAAAGTATCAGGCACTGGCCAAGTGAAAAGAATCAGTCTTTAGGCTCAGAAAGCCAAGTCTATTAACTAGTTCATGCTTCCTTCCTCTGAGAGATGACAGGTGTGGGAAGGATCTATGGTATGTCATCACAGATCGGGTAACACAGGGATCAGACTGATGGAAGTGCTAAAAGGGAAAAGGCCATGAACTGATTCTTTAGGCAGGCCAATTAGCTCTGCTGGATCTCTTAGCTGAACCTTCAACCCTTGTACCAGATAGCTATTGTACTAGCCAGGGTTCTTCAGAGAAACAGAACTAATAGGATATAGATTTAATTACAATGAATAGACTCACATGATTATGGAGGCTGAGAAGTCCAATGGTCTGCTGTCTGTAAGTTGGAGACTCAAGAAAGCCAGCTGTGTAAATTCCAGTTCAAGTCCAAAGGCCTGAGAATCAGAAAAGCCAATGCTATGACTCCCAGGCCAAGGATGGAAAACCAATGTCCTAGCGCTAGCAGTCAGGCAAAAGGCAAACTCAGCCTTTCTCTACCTTTCTGTTCTATTCAGGCTCTTAATGGATTGGATGATGTCCACTTATGCTGGAAAGACATTCTGCTTTACTGAGCACACCCATTCCAATGGTACCCCCCACCACACATCATTTGGGCATCCCATGGCTCAGCCAAGTTGACACCTAGAATTAACCACCACGGCCTTCTCTTGTAGGTAGGAAAGGTTTGAACCAGTCCAATCCCAATTTCTTTCCAACCAGAGGTAAGCCACTGGAATCAAACTACCAGACAATGTTGAGCTGAGTGTAGTGTTACATGCCTGTAATTCCAGCAGTCTTGGAGGTTAAGGATTCTAAATTTGAGCCCATTTTGAGCAACTCAGTGAGACTGTCTCAAAAAATATAGTGTGTGGGCCGGGGATTTATCTCAGGGGTTCGGTGGCCTGCCTCGAAAGTGCAAGGACCCGAGTTCGATCCCCATTACCAAAAATAAAATAAGTGTATATATATA